GACAGCATACAAAAGTTTTAAATAAAAAAATAAATAATAAATAATAACAGTAGGACCAGTGAACACTGAAAAGGCCCTTCTCCCTCTTGCCACCAACCAACTCTTCCTTGGAGGTGGCAATTTGAGGCAAGCCACAGTTCTTGACTGTACTGTCTGAATAGATTGCTGTCAGGAAAGGTGTTTACGGATTAAAACCAGCACCTTGAATTGGGCATGGAAGCATTTAGGCAGATGATGGAAGTGGGCCAGAATTGGTGTTATATGTTCTGAATGTCTGGCCTCTGGCTGTCACATTTTGCACAAGCTGCACCTTCTCAATAGTCTTCAAGGGAAGCCCCATGTAAAGTGCATTGTCTTAATCTAGGTTAGAGATTAACTGAAGATAATTACTGCTGGCAGCCTATCTCTGCCCAGCCAGAGGCATAGCTGAGCCACCAACCAAAGCTGGTAAAAGGTACTCCAAGCCATTGAAGCCACTTGTGCCCCAAGTAACAAAGATGGCTCAAGGAGCACCCCGGGCTACAAACCTGCTCCCTCAAGAGTAGTACAACCCCACCTAGAACAGACTGAATTCTTTGCATCCATTAAGAACAACGCTAACAGCACTTCAGTCTCACTAATAGCATCTTAATCTCTTGACTGAGTTTCAGTTTTTCAGTCCTCATCCAATCTATTGTCACAGCAAGGTACCAGTTTAGCACATCCACTTATTTATTGAAGATGAAAAGGACAACAGAGCAGTGTGTCATCAGCATACTGATCACAATGCACCCCAAAACTTTGGATGACCCCGCTCAGCAGTTTCATGTGGATGTTAAATAGCATGGGAGTCAGTTTGACCCCTGAGGAACACCATACAGGAAAGTCCAGGTGGCAGAGCAATATCCCTCAAGGATCATCTTCCGGAAACAGCTATCCAAGTGCTCCCCATGGCTCAGACAGTCACTCCAGAAGTATACTATGGTAGATGGTATTAAAAGCTGTTCAAGAGTACTATTAGGGTCACACTCCTCCTGTCTCTCTGAATATAGCTCATCATACAACATGACCAAAGCTGTTTCTGGGCCCTGGATGTTAGGAAGGTGCCAGGTCCTGATGGGTTATACCTGAAACTCAGTCAAGAGATTGAGTTGGCAGGAGTACTTTCACATCTGTTGGCCTCAGTTTTTGAGACCTTGTGGAAAACAGAAGTTCTGGAGGATTGAAAGGTGGCGTCAGTGGTACCAATCTTCAAAAAGGTTAGCAGAAAGGACAAGGAGAATTACAGGCCAGGAAGCCTTACATCCTTTCTGGGAAAGATGATGAAAAAGCTCATAATAGGGAAAACTAGAAACCCTGGATAGGAAAGGGTGGTTGGTAGCCACGCAACATGGCTTCAGCAAAAATACGTCCTGCCAGACAAACCTTCTATGACAAGGTTCTGTGACAAGGTTTCAAGTTGGTTTTCAGTGGGTCCTTTGACAAGTTCCTGCATGATATCCTGGTTAAGAAATTGATGAGCTTTGGGATAGATCAATGCACTGTCCGATGGATTAAGGCGTGGTTGACGGACCACAAGCAGAGGGTAACTATCAGTTGGGAGCTATTAGGGTGGCAGCCAGTGACAAGTGGAGTCTCCCAGGTCTCAGATCTGGGACTGATTCTGTTGAACCTTTTAATCAATGACCTGGAAGAGAGGGGAACCAGTTTGCTGACCAGATGTGCACATAATACCAAAGTGGGAGCAGTGGCTACAATGGAGGAGCAAGCACTCCAGATCCAAAAGGATCTGGACAGACTGTGGAAGTGGGCAGGGGACAACAGGATGGTATTCAACACAGATAAGTACAAAGTCTTGTACTTGGGAATAAGAAATAAGTGCAATAGTTACAGGATGGGGTACAAGTGGCTGGAGAGCAACACTTGTGAAAGGGATCTCAGGGTACTTGTCAACAGCAGGTTAAACATGAGCCAGCAGTGTGACGTGGTGGTTAAGGGGTCGAATGCCTTCCCTGGATGTGGTCAGAAGTGTGGATTCCAGATCAAAAAAAGTGCTGGTACTGCTCTATAAGACTCTGGTGCATCCACAGCTGGAGCACTGTGTCCAATTCTGGGCTCCACATTACAAGAGGTACATAGCAAAGTTAAAATCAGCTCAGCACAGGGTCACAAGAATGGTAGCAAGATTAGGGGTGAGGGGTGAATTCCATATGAGATCAGATTGAAGGAACTGGGTCTTTTTGTCCTGGAGAAGAGAAGACTCTGATGGGGAACTTATAGCAACTTACAGGTATGTGAAGGGGTCTCACAGTTGGAGGGTCATGACCTGTTCTCCTCTGTGGTAGAGGGAAGGACATGATCTAATGGGGCAAAGCTAAAGGAACTGGGTTTTAGGTTGGACCCCTAGGACAGGGGTCCTCAAACTTTTTGAACAGGGGGCCAGTTGAAAGGTGCTGGTGATGGGTGCGGGCCACTAAGGCAGTGTGGGCGGGGGGCACAGGCTGGGGCAGGGGACACGCATGTGCACGGCAAGGCAGGGGTTGGTTTTCTCTGAGCAAGTCCAAAAGGATCTCCTTGCGAGCAAGCCAGTGCCTCGCCACGGCGCACACGGCAAGCTATGGTGGGCCGGATCCAGCCCGCGGGCTGCAGTTTGAGGACCCATGCCCTAGGATATGGAATAGGCTTCCACAGGAGGTGCTGGACGCCCCATCAGTGAGGGCATTCAAGGAAATATTGGACACTCTCATGTTGAATTGAACAGAGCTGGCTTGTGCCAGGGGTCAGACTAGATGGCCTAGGATGCTCCTTCCAACTTGCTCCGCTTCTATGTTTCTGTGCCAAAACTGAGACAAAATCTGGATTGAAATGGATCTAGATCAGTGATGGCGAACCTTTTAGAGACCGAGTGCCCAAATTGTAACCCAAAACCCACTTATTCATTGCAAAGTGCCAACGCTGCAATAAAACCTGAATACTGAGGTTTTAGTTTAGAACTGCTCACAGCCAGTCCAAGCATCCATCCATCCATCCATCCATCCATCCATCCATCCATCCAATCTCCTTGGCAGCGCACTGACCAGCCATGCGAAAGCTTAGACAAGTCGCGGCTCATGAGTTGCAGCTCGTAACATCATCACCTGGTGCTGCTACTCCTTTCCAAGCATGCGCATGCCCCTATGTGCACTGTTATCCAATGCTCGGCTGCTGGGGCGATGCTGGGGTGACTTGGCTCACATGCCAACAGAGAGGGCTCTGCGTGCTTGCAGCAGCACGTGTGTCATCGGTTTGCCACCACTGATCTAGATCATCAATCTCATGCAAGAGTGCCTAGTACTGGTTGGCCACTACTTGCTTAAAAACCTTGGGGGACTGGAGCCTCTTGATAGAACTTCAGCCCACCCAGTGACAATGCCAGCCAGTAGCAAGAGGTTGACAAGATAGTAAGGGGGCTGTTGGAGAAGCTAAGCCAAATGGGAAAGAAAGCTGGCAAGATGATAAATCCAACATTATCACCTGTGCTGAACAAATCTGGGCTGCTTGTCTTCAGGTTTGTTCCTGGAACATTTCCTGTGCTATGCTGGTCACTTAAGGCAAAAAAGACCAAAAGTATGTGAAAGTTGCTGCTGCTGAAACACCCCCCCCCCCTTTTCCTTCAGTACTAGCTATTATTCTTTTCTATGTTGTGGTATATAGATCAGAAGCTTTATTAGAATGGTTGTGGATGAATATAAATGTGTTTTTAATGTGAACATTTATATTTGATTATATTATGAGTAAAGTTTCCAGAAATCTATACATATTGCCAAATATTGTGCTGTAGGGGTATCTGTATTGAACAAGGTAGATCATTTAAGACAAACAGCTTGCCTCTACCAGGCAATACCATAGAATATGTATTTTTAAAGTTATAAACATAAAGAAAAGAAAGTTAATAGTATGATTCATGGTATGTGTTGCTCCATTGCTCCACACTCTGTGGGAACTATAATATCACCTGAAGATGGGTTAGAGGGACATGGTGTTTCTTGATCTGATGTTTTTATGTAATATGAAGCATTATATCTCTTGAAGAACAGCATGGCATTCGTGCTGGGTGCCAACCTGAAATGAATACTGAGGGGACAATATTTCCTCCCCACCGCACCACAAAATCAGATGTGATAAGATTAAAGCCAGTGGCATTGCTAAGAGGACACAGGGACTTACAGCAGGTGCACATCATAATGATCTCTTTCTCTAATTCCAGCCATAACAATCTTCCACACAGTTGTGTCGCCTCTGATAGCAACTTAGATTGGGGAGGGCAAGTGCATGTGTTGCTTTAAGTCCTTCAGCCTTTAGTGGGGATTAGCAGAACATCAGTTCTCATTGTACAAAAACTGTAGGGTTTCTCTCCTCAGTACTGCTGCAGCTGGCTAACAGGTAATGTCATCTTTTTGGCCAACGGTGTTCTTGCTCTTTGTGTCTTTTATAGGCTTCTGAATAAGCCATGGCAAGATGATGACAGGCCCCTAAAATAATATTTAGATTTTAAATAGAGCTGTAGAGTATTCAAATGGTCCATGTACAGAATTCTTAATTATGCCAAATATAATCCTGCAAGGTAGCTCTATGAATAACCTTTCCTTCCTATAATGTGTCTGGTCTTGGCAACTTGGCAACTTCTTGGCAACTTCCCATATTCTGGGTAAGTGTTTATTTAGGTGTAAGTTGTAAAAATTTAATTCTAGGTATACATTAGCTTACAATCCTATTTGGGCTTGCATCTGAATAGCCATGTATCATGTTGCACTGAGAATGATTTGACCCAAGCTGTACTTGTAACAAAGAAAATCTAGGAAGCAAGACTTATTAAAAAACAATATAACAAGGTACTAGATCTTAATAGTCATAACAATGTTTGATTCAAATTTCTGTACAATAACATACCACTGAAATGTTGCATAGAATTTTCTCTGTAATTTCTAATAGTATCAAGTTAAAATGTTAATTAAATGATATTACTCTTTCATTTGATGTAGACTGATCCCCAGATGGTTCTACTCATGTCAGTTACCATGGAAAATTTGAGGAAAGACATTCCCAGAAGAAATGACCATAAAGGCACAGTTCGCTGGCCTCTTTTTAATATGTGGCTGATCACAAAGGTATCCCAGTATAAGATACATCAACTTTAATGATGCCTTCTTGGTGTTTGTGATGTGAAAGATATCCTATTGATGATTTTTGTTGTTTTGGTTGTTAGTTTAGTTGTTAGAATCAAAATGCACAGGGTTAGTGTTCAGGACTGTTAAAAACCAAATGGCATATTGAAACCAAATTGTTCCTTGGTTTCGTGTGAAAACAAATTGCAGTTGATTTTGATGGAATGCAGATGGTTAAAACCAAAGGCAATTTCATCTTCTGATGGTTGTCTTATCAAGTGGGTTCTCCATTATCTTTGAGCTAGTTCTAGTCAAGATGGATAGAATTTTACATATGTCCCCATTAGAGATATAAAAATGTCCTTGTTTATGCAGTGCATGTATTTGGGGATGAAGAGCTCTACTACAATACTGTCAAAGGCAGCTTTTGGGCAAATGTGATGCTGGAGAACAGTACCATGCTGTTCCATTATAGATCATTGCCAATGAAGGACTAAGCCTTAGGATAGTGTGTGCCTTAGGATAGAGAGCAAGTATTAAAATAGACAATTGGACTACAAGTGACAGAAGAGTGGGCTGAACTGGGCTGTTTTCAGTAAAAAAGGCTCATATGCAAAATAAAATGTATATATTATTTGTATGTTCAATTTGTTTCCTGCCTTTTCTTCATGGAGCCAAAGGCAGTGTCATCCTTGCCATTATATCAACTAGCCTGTGATGCTGAATGTAAGCGAGTGGCTCAAAATCCTTTCATTGTTGAGTGTGGAGTAGAACCCAGGTCTCCTGAGCTCTAATCTACCATGCTAAGCAACATACCACATACCAAATCAATGCATGGACCATAACTAATCTTTATAATTTCTTAAAACTTCCTTGAGTTTGATAGTAAACATTAAAGTCTATGCTGCAGTCCAGTCTAAAAGATTTTATTAAATAATAATGATAATGATATCCTATCATTTTCAATGGAATTCACCTCCAAGTAAGTGTGCTTAGAACTGCAGACTTAATTCCTAAAATAAAATTTAAGCCATAGAAGATTGCACCTGCAACAGCTGTCTTGCTGTAAACTGCTGTTTTTTAAAAAAGAACAAAAACAAAAGCCTTTAAGGATGTTTAACCAACATTCTTTTAGACTTGAGGTAAAACTTTAAATTGACTCAATGCCTATAGATTTGTTGCAATCTTTGCAGTTCACTGAACTTTTTTTCCTGTGCATACATATTTCAAGTAAACTCTGTAGTTATAAGTATAGCAAGTGACACGTTATGGACCCTAAATCGTTGCACTGTGAAATATGCAGAGGAAAAGGACAAATGAAGATATCAAGGGTCTGTTCTATTTTGCACTGAACTGTAAAATGCCACCCTTGTTGTACAGAAGATCACTGGTTCTGAGCAGGGCTCATTGACTGCTAAGTTGTGGATAGTGTTTCAGTTTCTCCAACTGTTAATATCCTGAGCTATCCAGGCATAATGACCTCTCTATTTGTAACACATTGTTGAATTTTCTGGTTCTTTTAACTTATTCAAACCCTTTTTTCCCATTCATTGAAAGGCTGGAATGATTCTAAGTCGAGCTATAGGAAAAAGCAGTCTGGCTGTTGGTCATCCAATCAGAGTCGTGATGCAGGATGGCATACTTCTTGAAGGCTATAAGTTAAATATGCAGAAAAGGTATTGATACAAGTATTTATTTTATATACAGATTTTTAGATAACTTGATATCTGAAAAGTGCTTACGTATTTTATAATTCAGTAGGTGCAACTGTATAATATTTAAATTAGCATTATCCTTCAGCTTCTCTTACTTGATTAAATTCTTGTCAGACATTTTGTGTTTTTTAACTTATTTGAACTCACCTTTGAAAATCAATTCTAAAATAATCCAGAGGAAAAATAGAGGGGTGATAGTGATATGTATGTTTACTAGATGTTGGGTTAGTTCTATTTCAATTTTTCTCTATTCTTTAAGTGACAGTGATAAAGGTTTGGCATGTTATATGTGAGCCTACAATGTAACTTAAGGATGTAGAGCAGGGGTCTCAAACTCGCGGCCCGTGGGCCAATTGCTGGGATGGGTGGGGCACGGGGAGGGGCCCTGCAGCCTTCAAAGCGCCGGTGGCGCCTGGGCCGGCCGCGGGATGAGCGGCCCACCACCACCATGGTGGTGGAATACTTGATGCGGCCCCACCTCACCCAGACTCTACTTCCAGCGGCCCCCAGGTAAGTTGAGTTTGAGACCCCTGATGTAGAGTGTAGCTTGGTCATAGAAGTGGGCATCTATACTGCTTTTATTGGATATGAATATGAAAAAGTAAAAGTCTTTGTAGGCTCTTTTTTTGAAGGGATTTCAAAGTTGACTTCTGCTAGTGGAAAGGTTTATGTAAAAGAAAATATTTCGCCAGGTACTTAGTCCTTAGCTAAGGATAAATAAGTTCTGTAGGGTTGAAAGCTAAGCCCCAGCACTTGGACACATGGAAACAGACATAGGATTGGAGCCAGAGGTGTTCTTCAAGCACTGACAAGATATGCTCCTAACACCCATATATCATATTACTCCTTATCTGTCCAAAAGGTGCCCAAGCTGGCATACCACAAGTCAAATGTACTCTGCTTTTGCATCCTCCACTGACACAGATGGATCTACAAGGCTGGCATTAAAGGGATGGAGGAAACAGCCTGTGCAGCCTTGTTGGTGGACAAAGCAAATACAAGCTCTGTTAGCCATCAGGGCTGGCAAGTGGTTAACTGACTCCTGACTTATAAGTATGAGGCTGTATTGATGAATCAACTAGATTTGATTTTGACTACTGGAGGAGGTATGAATCCTGTAGATTTCTTGATAGGAGGCAGTTGCAACTGATCTTATTCCATTCATAGCACTACTTATCACATGCATTTCTGGCAACAGATTGTACGTCTCCATACTTGTGCGCCGCCCTGAGGCTTCTGTGATGGGTGCGGCATAGAAATGTTATAAATAAATAAATAAATAAATAAAATAAGCAGCTCATTAAGGTATTGCAACCTCATCTGAAATAGGATAAAGACCAACAACCTGGACAGATGAACCACTCATAAACAATACCTCTGCTTTATGGGGGATTGTACATTTAGTGCACAAATACTGCAGTTCTGTACACCATTATTCAGAAGTAAGCTCTACTGCAGCCTTCCCCAACATAGTTCCCTGCAGGTAGTATAAACCAGTTGCCTGCATCCCTGACCATTGGCTGTTTAAGCCTGATAGAAGGTTAAGTTCAAGGCATCTGAAGGGCACTAGGCTAGGAAAGGTTGTCCTACTGTTTTCAATATAATAAAATAAATATTGCTTATTTGCAGTAATCTGTGGCTAGGATTACTGTCAAAATGCCTTAAGTTGCAGTCCTATGTACCTTTAGATAGAAATGTCAGAGCTCCCAGAACACCCTAACATGATTGCACACTTGTGGTACAGATTGCATTAGTAATCACCTGATACCTGTAAGTTATTTTCATTTCAGCCTTAGAGATGGAAAATTGAGATTCACTGGTTAAGCTGGGATCTGTACCCAATTCCCAGTTGTAAGATGCATTGTCCATTAAGCCTCAATGATGTACATGTATTCTGTTGCATTGGCATTCATAATCAAATTTGCTTGGCTAGTCTATTTTATGCTTGGTATTTTGTACATGGTCTTTTATTTTTAATTAATACTAACAATGACAACAACAACACCAGTTTTTATGAGAAGACAATACAAGATCAGGTCAGCTTCCCCTTATACTTTTCCATTTAGGAAATCCATGCCAATACTGTCTTTTTAGAACTTCATGACAGAGGTTTTATTTGAAGAATAAGCTTGCCAGAATTGAAATTTTATAGGAAATCTATTTGATCACCAATTGATTGGTAAATCTAATTAAACATGTAATTCTTTGCAACCTTATGTGGGAGTAAACTCCACTGAACATCATACAATTATTTCCAAATAAACTATGCACTGGATTGTAAAGATGTGTTATAAATGAAATATGCATTTTAAGAACATTATAACTTAATATTTTTTTACAGAGACAAAAACAATATATATCAACACTGGGAATTCAGAAGCGATGGCTGTATCCATTCTAAGGTGTGTTTATAATAGGAAATGGGTTTTTAATAGGAAAATGCTGATTTTTAAAATTTATTTCCCATCTTCAGACTCCCACATGGAGCCCATTAAAGTATATGTGCATGTAATGTAGAAAGCCTCTCACATGAATAATTTAAAGAGAATAATTTTCTCTTTCACATTGTTGCATTGCCTCTAAGATCATAAAAGCAACTTATTAAAATATTGTTCTTAAGCATCTGTCTAGTGTGAACTTGTTACTTCTGTTATAAAAGCTTTTGCCATTTTTTCTAATCAGTGCCATTCACTAATATATTGATTATGTTGTATTTATCAGTTTAAGGCATGGTTTGTATATATTAAATTACTACATTAGTCTAGCTGTAAAAGATATTGCATTGATTCAGGTCAGAGATTACTATTTTTGACTCTGCCTCTAACCTATTTTAAGCAATTTCCCTTTTCCTCACTGCAGCCCTTGAACTACATCCCAAATCTTTCATTTGTCCTACAGCCTTCTTTGGGTAGGTGGGAGGACCCAAGGAAGAATATGGAAGATGGGGTAAAAATAGACTTCAACTCCCATCACATTGCCTATAAGTGTATATGATGGCCTATACTCTGGATAAACTAGCTCATTTTCTCAAGTGATGTCCCTTTTTTCAAACAATTTGTGTTCTGTGTCATGAATTTGCAGATTACCCCTGACCATAAACTTTACTGCTCAAGCTCTTAATGGCTGGGGAACCTCATATGAGTACACGTGACATTTCAAATAGCATGGTCCCAAGTTGTTTCCTCTTCACTGAATCATGCATTGCTGTCCAAGGCAGGAGTGGGTCTAAAGGAATATAAAAGTTGGTACAATTCCATTCCTCCTCTAACCCATCCTTGCCCTGCCTATATCTCCTCTCCACTTTCGACTTACGCTAAGAGACCTATATCAGCTGAGAAGATACGCCAGTGTACAGGTTCACCAGTAGAACTCATGTTTCTTTCTTATATCCTATAGCCCACAGCCAGCATATCTTGAATATAGGAGTGCATACAAAGTGTCATGAGCTGAAGTTTCTCCCTCACATTTTCAAAAGTCCCAGACCTTTTTCCTTATAAAGCGTTCTTTATCGACCAAAAAAGCACAAAGCAGCCAGAATGAATCCTGGAGCATGCACAGAGTGGTTTGTTGAACCCAATCTAGTATTCACCTCCAGGAACTTTCTGTAGGAGCATGCCTGAACCCCATCCCTTCAGAAAACAAGCATCCCTCCTCTGTGCACACCAGTCCTCTAATTGCCAATGCCTCATGGGGTCAAGAGCCATACCTGCCTTGTCTGAGTCTAGCAAATTCTCTTGTTCCAAGTCCCCTCCTGCCAACTGTACATCTTGGTTATTCTCAGAGACTGCCTAGGGAATCTGGCCTTGAGATTGGCATCTCTGCTTCTCTCATCTCGGTGTCTCAGCATGGCCCACATTTCCAGCCCCTGTCCCTGTTCTGCTTCACATGCTGATTCTGATTTCTCTGAAGTCCAGCCAGCAGTCCTTAAGAACAAATGCCCAAAGCAGCCATCTTTCTCACTTTGAACACTAAGGATTGCAAAATCTTGCAATTCCTACTATCCACCAGCCAGCATGGATTGCTGGGATATGCTGGGAGTTGTAGGACTTTTTGCTGTCTAAACATACCCAGGATTGTACTCTAAATGACATTCAATCAATAATAAAAGTCTTTCTGAGAAAGAATGATTTGTAAACTATGCTCACCATTAGGCTGATACAAATAAACTTAATGTCATGTCCAAGGATGGACTTAAAGAAAGAGTGAACAAGCAGGAAGAAGACCCGTAGGAAATTGGGAAAGAAGGTGGGAAATAAAGAGGAGAGTATTGTCCTGGGGAGACGGAAAGATAAATTAGGCAGAAAATGCAGTGATGGGATTCTTTATTGAACAACAAATGAGTCTGGATGGAGGATAAGTGATGTGGGTGAGGCACATGTTGTGCTTTTATATATCAAAGCAACTGAATCTTTAACAAATCATGATGATTCAGTTATCTGTAATGCCAACATCACATGTTATGAGCTGTGAATTGACAGTATATCTGTTGTCGTGAGCTGGAAAGTTTTGTATTGGTCTCAGTGAGGATAAGTTAAGGAATACAAAATTGTATATATGCAACACATTTTTTTAATGGCATTGCCTAGTATGAACAACTTTTTCTGTCCATAATTCCTGGTGCTTAACTGTACATGAGTGTATTTCTGCTTATTGCAGTCTGGGTGTTTCTGCTGTGCCTTTGTCCTTTCCTACAGGCTTACCCTGAGTTTGTCCTGACCTACCTAGAGGAGCTAAATGTAAGAGAGGAGGTGACCCAGACGGAATACCACACACACCATGGGGCCCAGTCTGCAGTTCACCAAGAGACAGATAGCAACTCGGCAGAAGAGGTCACTGTATCAAGCCAGAGGCAGGTCAGAAGCAGTGTTCTTTTTGTTTTTGTTTTATGGGGAAACATGTTTTGAAAAGAAATGATGTAACTCTTCACTCTTTGAATATATTTGTTTACATAAACAGTTTAACTTAAACATTCATAGCCTGCATGTTCTTGAGAAAAGGAAGTACAAATAGGAAAGCACCGAGCTAAAATTTCACACACACCCCAATTCAGTAGCTGCTTCCTGTATGAGAAAATGTAGCATTGTGTACCTGCCAAATAAGCTTTATTCTATTATGGTGAACAATATATTTATTACATATTTGCTCTTAATTTCCTAGGTTCTACAAAATAATGTCTGCAACTGCAATGAGAAGCAACTTTCAGGACCTTTGGACGCCCACTTAATGCCTGAAGGTCCCTTAAGGGAGAATAGGCAGCTGACAGTGGCACTGATGAGGAAACTGGAAGAGAAACATCCTAAGGCCTCAGCTCAAAGGTAAGCTACTGACAGAACTGATATTTATTGTTCAATGACATTAGATGTTTTCCTTCAGTTTCGTGTAAGATTGATTTCCTGAATATTATTGAAATATCTCAGAAGCCCTCTGGCTTGCAGGAAGACATGGAGTTTTGACCAAAACTAATGAAAAGGGGTGACATTTATGCAGTTTTAAAAATGGAAGTGTACACTTATCTTTTAGGATAATTGAGTTATTTATTGTTAACTTATTAAGAATGAATCATGCAATAACACTGCTGTATTATTTATTGCATTTGGTTATTATTTATTGTTTGTATTTATGAGACACCTATCAAATGGATTCCCAGGCATGGTACAATTAATCACAATAAAGTCTCTAAGTGTCATACAAGGTTACATGGTTTGTTCCACTAAAAAGAAGTTTATTAGAGGCCATCATTTATCACTTTGAGCTCAAATGTGATACATAGTTTTTTGAAAAATAGAAAATCAAAACTCATTTTAAAAGAGTATTTACAACTATGAACTTTTATGGTATAGAGGGCTGGCAAACTAAAATAATGTAGAATCCATGAATGCTATTTAAATGAACATTTCTTACAGTTTTCAAAATACATATACTGAGTGTATTGAGTGGGACTCTAGTACTCACATGGAGCTGCTTTGTACAGGTATCCAAATATTACACGATATTTTCAGTTTTCTTCTCACCCTTGAGAATAGATGTGCCTTTAAGGTTAAAGATGGCATGGGAAAATTTAATATATTCAAGCTTTAAATGGAGAATTAAGTTGTAAAAGTGCATGCCAAATTTCATTCCACTATATCAAACCTCAAGAGTGATATTCCATTACGCTGTGTTCCACATTTTTCCTGACTACCTTTGGTGTCATTTTAGGATTTCCACATGAATTGTGCATTAGTTTCCTGCATGTGTGTACCAGTTTGCATTATGTTACCTCAGGGTTGTATCTAGTAGTGGTGATCCACTGATGGAAGCATTCCCACTACGTTGTGTAAGCAGGACCCCACCACTCGTACGTGAAAGGTATAATGCTTCCTAGGGGAAGCCCTGAAATGAATGGAAAGCTCAGTGGTTGAGCACGTGTTTGCATGCAGAAGGTCCCAGATTCAATCCTAGGGTGCCCTGATAGTATAGGAAGAACAGTGTCAATAGTACTGGGCTAATGTGGTGCAATGGTTAAGAGTGTGGATCTGGGACTCAGGAGGTCTGTGTTCTAGTCTCTGCTCAGCCATGGATTGTTCTGAGCCAGTCACAGACTCTCAGCCCAACCTACCTCACAGCTTGCTTCTGAAACAGAGCTGGTTGGCAGAGCTCCGATGATGGAGCTCCTCTGACCTGCCTTACTCCAGAAATGAGTGATTATGCACTCGTTATATATATTCTCTAGATCCCTGTTGTACAACTGATGGGATCTACTTGTACATCGAAATTGACAATACTGGTTGTTTGCACACTCATGGGCACACTCAAACTGCCAAGGTTTGTAATGGTCAACTGTAGCACAGAATCCTGGTTTAGAGGTGCAAGGGAAGTTGGTGAGTAAGAGGATGTGGAAGAAAAAGCACATTATCCCACTGGCCACTTCTGATCACTTAGCCCCAGTTAACATTATGCCTGCTCCATCCTTGCAAAATCATCAAGTTTTGTAGAGTACACTTGTTTTTATGCTAAAGAATGGTGTTGTATGAACGCAGGATATTTAACGTGTTATAAAATACAAAGTGCTGTTTGAAGACTCAGGATAAATTGATTAGGCCATACCTAATCAATATTTAAGAAGGATTCTATGGGGAAATTTTCCTGATGTTATACTGAATAAGCATTGGAAGTGACTTTAACAAGTCACTGTGGTGGTGGAGTCTAGAAAGACTTCAGATACGATTCAAACTTCTCACTGTCAGTATATTCCTTATGATTTGAAGCCAAAGTGGCATATGTGGGCATTTCTTATGTGACTGGACTTTCCGCTCTACCCAGTGCAACCTCCTTGAAATCTGGAATGGATCGGCTCTAGGGGAAGCAGGGAACTGGCTGAGAGGGCAGATACACTTTAAGAAAGCAAAGCTGCTGTGCTTATTGCTTCCTTGGCCAGGTGATACACCATTTCAGAAGCATTTTTTCACAATACAAGATGGTGCATTTGGGTGTGGGAGAGCACCTTTATGTGAATAGAATTCCACCCATACCTGCTGTTGTATCTACAGGTACATGTGTGGAACTTGGTTGCATATTTGTTCAGTGCACATTCATCCTGTCTGTAGTTGGGTGATGCAAAGAAGCAGCTGCAGGCCACACACATTTATAACTATATGAATAATTCTCATGGCTTTTAGGAGATATGTCATCCATTTAAAATTAAGTATTTTTCTTTTTAAAGTCAATTGTCTCACCTCAGATATTTATCATGTTTAGTAGCTAAGGAAACTGTTTAATTCCCATCCAACTGCTTTTATTGAGAAAAACTTACTATTTTTTTGTTGTCCTTATGGCAATAAAATTGATCACTAATCTTTGTCCAGTAGAAAATAAATTCCTGTAAATCATAAATGAAATATTAAAAGTTTATTTTCCCAAGGAAAACATTAAAAATATATTTTTACATCTGCAACCTCCTTTTGTTTCTAATAGGATGACACATGGGCTTCTGTGTTTTAGTAAGAGTAATATCTGTTCCCTTCCTATTTTACTTTGTGGGAAAATTATGATGGCAGAAATCTTTTCACTGAAAATGTAAGGCTTTCCTTGTGATTTATCCGCCATATAAATGCTCTAAAGGTTAAAGCTTTGAATTGGGGACAAATTAGCTTTCATTACATGCTTTAGTTGCATCTTGACAAAATTACTCAGCTCTCTGTTTGAGCTGGGTAATTCAAATTCTTTTTTTCTCTTCCTCTCACAGACACTTCTATACAGATCTAACTCAATATGGTACTAAAGTAATGTAAATGCTATATTTATTTATTTTACTGCCAGTGCGAGGATGCTGTTTTTTGCATTATTATATTAAACTGAGCAACTTACCTTTATTTAAATTGAATAGAGGTTGTTGGGGGAGAATTGTAGCAGCCAACAAAGCATGGTGACCCAGCTTGTCACCCAGTGACCTGTGAGAAGGAAATAATGAACTGTGAGTAGCTGTCATCTTAACTGCTTCTGACAGTTTGGCTATGGGCACATCTGTGTTAGTTGCATGGAAAGGCCTTTGTTGTTTTCCCACTAGTGACTTTGCAGACTGCTGTGGGGTTTGCTAGCTGCCCTACTCCTGCACTTCCCTCCCTCTTTACCAAGGAAAGCAGCTGCCAATGAATGGGTTGACATTTCTTTTAATGATTTATTTGGCATTTATTTAATTATAAAGTACAAATCATACTAAACATTAGATATTTTTGGATAATGTACATGAAGTTAGTGTCCTACTGTAGTTAAGCATCTGCAACTGGTTCTGCCTTACTTACACAGTTTCAATGGTCTGTATTACCCTAGAATGCTTTCCCTTCTTAATACGCCTGTGTAGTTATTTAGCTTTTCCCCTTTCCATTTTAAATAACAATTCTATATCAAGAACATTTAAATCTGTCTAAGAATGAAATCCTATTCATGTTTAGACAGAAAATAGTGCTACAGCACTAAGCATTCTTCAAATAATCCATGCTGGGAGATGGAGGACTTTTTTCTTTTTAAACTCTCATAATGTTGCACCCTAAAACTTTTATTTATTTATTTATTATTTATTTATTTATTAAAACATTTTTACAACTTTTACAACTGTTTATGTTGCTACTAAAATAACATTTCATGTAATCAAATGTAGAAATCGCTTAATGTTATTGTTCTGAACTTAAAGATGTTTGTTCCTGTAATTGTGACTTAAAGATACCAGAGGAAAAATTATTTGGGTTTTCACGATTAGGGTTTTTATTTTGTTTTCCATGCAGTGGTCTCTCGCTTTCAGTCCCTCCACTTGCATGGGTAAATATTGCTTTTCAAGTTTCCCTGACTTTAAAAAAGCAGATTGTAATACAGTGAGTTAAAAAAGAAAATCATAAATGCTGTACTTTACCCCCAAAATTCTTTGCATACACATAAAAATGCTTGCTGACTCACAATCTGGATGTTAACAGTATTAACTGTGCTTCCTTAATGTACAGCCAGTAATTTTTGAACTGAGTAAAATGAATCCAGAAGGTGTAATGAAAGAAATAATTCTTTGTCTATGGACTTCGTTCTTTTGGGCAGAGCAATTTTGAACAAATCATGGAAAAGTTTATCCTAATAATATTTTTTAATTTAAATGAGGAGAGCAGCTGATAAATAATTTATTATCCATTTCCAAAAATAACAATTTTATGAACATTTATATTCTATCTTAAAGAAATCACTGAGAGACTAAGTAGGCAAGATACACCTGTATCTAGCAGGTGCTGATCCAACTCAGGATCTTGATATGGGGAACAGTTTTTTTTTAAAAAGAACCCTTTGCACCATGCCATGCCATTCTGGCTAAAATTTGCATGTTGGTACCAATAGAAGATCTTTCCCCATACACATAGCAGGCAGAGGGAGTCCTGATCCAGACTGGAATCCCAACAGAGTAGGGGAACATTGCAAACCCATGGCAGGAGCCAAATCTACATGATGAAACTGATTTCTAGATCCATTTTAGATCTGGCATTAGAATGCAAACTTGCTTGCTTTCTATTTTGCATAAAGTTTATCTAGAGAGAGACTTCAAAAGTGCAGCAGCCCTTTTTTCTTGGGATATTCAGTAGCCTTCAGTGCCATCAATTATGAGTATTTTCCAAATGTGCTCTCTGGGGTTGGAAGTGCTCTAGTACAGTCATTCTTCTCCTTGCTTACATGGTCAATTCCAGAAGTACAAGAGGAGTACTGTTCTGCCCCTTTGCACTTATCGTGGGCTTCTACAAGGTTCTATTTTATCCCCCAGTGCTGTTCAACATCTACATGAAATCACTGAGAGAGGTTATCTAGA